GAATAACAATAATTACTTTATTAGATTTGAGGCAGAATTACAGTTATTTTACTTATGGCAGCTTCAGACAAGACAGAATTTCAGCATAAAATAAATATGTGTAGGTAGTTTGTTAAAATTGGGTTTTTGAGGTGTGTAGTTGAATGTTGAGACTAATTTGTGTTGCATCTTTTTCCCCAAATATATGTGAACTGATAGTAAAGTCAAATCCTGTACAACTTTTACTAATTCTTGTCCCAGGTCCCTGTGGAGCATACTTGAATCTTGTATCTTTGATTTTGACCTTTTACTTGCATTTAAATGATGTCATTGATCACTTTGTTTCTCAAACTTGAGTAGCCATTTGAATCCCTCAAAGGTCTTGCTAAACAGAAATTCTAAAGTCCAGTGGAGTCCAAGCATTGCTTGTCATGGATCCTGCTTTGAGGACGAACCTCTAATAAGGTCTCCTGCCTTCCGTACTGTGTAGAATGAGACAAAGAATAAAAAAGTAAAAGGTGTTCTTAGTGTATTAGCAATGCCTGTAATGCAAGAGAACTCTTAATATGTCCACCCACTGAGGTTTTTTTTCTAAATTTCTACCTCCAGACTATGAATATTGAACAAATGTTACGATCTCCCTGCCTAGTGATTGGTACCAGTTTCACCTGTGTCATTGGTGCCTCTTATTGGAGGAAACCAACTGATTTTCTTGTCCTGGAGACACTTTTTTGCTATATTGTGAAAGCCAATTATCAAGTCATTGAGAAATTTTCTTTCTTAGTTCTTCTTTGATTGATTTAATTCTTTGATTTTTTAATTAGAGTTTTGTAGGAGTTTACCTCAAATTTGATGCATATTTTGTTATGATTAAACTAGTATTTAATGGTTAGGAATGCTGATATAAATGGTATTGTGTTTTAAATTTCAAATTCCACTTGTTTATTGCCAGTATGCAGGAAAGCAGTTGATTTTTGCATGTTACCCTTGCAGGTTGCAACCTTGCTATTATTGCTTATTAGTTCCAAGAGCTGACCCTTCTTTTATGTTGTCTCTATAGACAATCACATCATCTACCATTAAAGAGAGTTCTATTTCTTCCCAATCTGTGCTTGAATTTTCAGTGGTGGGAGTATTTATACCATGAAAATTGACAGCTACCGTAATTGAAGAGTTTCGGTTTTCATTTTTCTGGAAAAAGCCAATTTTTACACATGGTCTTACTTCTCATTCAGTCATTTCCCTTTACTTTCCAACATAGGATCTGATAATGAATTTCTAGTTTCAGGCTTGTTATTTCTCTGCTGTACTTTAGCTTGTCCATGGCACTCAGTGAAGAACAAATTTTTTCTCATAACAAAAAGAAAACAAAAACTGCGGAAAGATCATGATATTATCCATTAGGAACTCACACTAACTATCCAACCCAGGAGTACTGATCAGCTTAAAACTTTACAAGTAAATTTCCTTTAGATGGCATTTTATAAATAACCTCCAACATGGAGAACTGGGTGAGGTATATTTAGAAAGACAGATGTATTGGGTATCCTTAGAGAATAAACGCATTTTAGTTAAAGGGCCAGCCAACCGGAGTTACCTTCTGAACATTTTCATTACAAATAAATACCCACCTCCTTCTACTAAGTCAGTAGTTTCATTGTCCTACATAGCTATTTGTATTATTAGTAGGTATTTCATCCTGTATTTGGAGCTTAAGTTGAGTTTTGTCACAAGACTTCAGTTCATAAGACTTAGGAGTACTTGCCTAATTTTAGATCACTCTGTTTAATACAGTATCATTCCTAAATGTTAAATATTTGATCATTTACTGCCCTGATAGACTTCCCTATCATGGTTATTTGATCACTGCTTGCTAATATTTTCAAGCATTTGACAAATGTACTTTTAAAAAGTACATTATACTTTTTAAAACTTTTCCTGGTAGTTGTAAAACTATCAGGAAGAACACATTCTATAAAAATAATCAACTTTCTAGTGTGTTGACTTTTAATTTTTTTTTCATCTGTAGAAATCAAATATAAGTGCATACACCTAAACTTCAACAGAATTGGTTCTGTTAGTTTAGGTTCATCCATATAGTGTCCCTTATAGCAGTGTTTAGAATTGGATCAGAAATTTACAGTGATAAAAGTAAAGTTATTTAAAATTACATTGAAATCAGCCCTTTTTATTATTAATGGATTGAATGATTAAACGACAGTAAATCAAAATTTATTTGAAATAGTGAAAAATATTCAGCATTTCAATATTGAATACTGTGGAAAATACTTGAGTCTTATTTTTGTTTTATTTCTGTTAGATTAAGGTAGTGATTTATTACAAAGGCAAACTCTTTGTCATCTTACATTTGCCCTTCTTACTCTACTTTAAAATTGGAGAAGCAGCACAGGATACAGAATTTTTAGATAGAGGAAAGACGATATGTTTGTGCTACACATGAAACTTTAGCAACTATTCTTGGAAAACAGGGAGAAAATTATGCTACATAATTATTATTTTTTCTACTTTAGAATGTGTGGTTCTCTCTTGTCTGTAAGTCTCTCTAATTTGATCAGAAGCAGTTGGACTGGTGACTGTCCTTTAGAGATTTAGAAGATCCCGAGGCACATTTTAGCCCTATTCTGCCAGTTTTGAATGCTTTTTCTTATTGATTTCTATTGTGGGTCACTGGTCTAATTTCTTTAAATAAGCTATAATACAGAATTTTATGGCCATTATAGAATTAGGCAGAATAAAAATAAAAATGAGTATACTATATATTTCACTAGTAGTATAAGAACATAGTAAGTATTGCAGTGCCATTTGGTCCACCTTCTGGACTGGAGATTTTGTCGTATTAGAAGTACTCAACTGTTTTTGGCCACATACGGATAAATACCTGTGATGAGTTCTCTTCTTTAATCCTTTTTTCATGCTATTGTTTAACTTACACCAAACCAAAGTTCTACCGTTGATACTTTGTGCATGAGAAAATTCATAAGGACAGATTTAATACATCTGCCAAGCTTTGATGAGCCATGGCAGACAAGTGTCAGAAGACATGCAGTTGGTGGTCTAAGAGAGTAAGAGTCGGCTTGAGTAGTTGAGGCTTGATGTATTTTGCTGTCATTACTCCTGTGACTCGTGGCTGTGCCTTGGGATGTGGGAATTCTGTCTTCAGCTGACATTAACAGCCGTACTAATTCATAACTCCAGCAGCAATTCCAGCCACAGAACCATAGTCTTATACAGCCTCAGGAAAGGTCGATAAGTAGTGTCACATCTTAGAAACATGAAGGAGCATGTGACAGGAGTATAGATAGACTCATGAGGGAGATACAGTGAAGGAGGAGAAGCCTTGGAAGTGTTCCCTACACCTGAGAGAGAGGATCAGGTCTGGAAGTGGAGAGACTGCCACTGGCTGTGGTTGGCAGGGCCTCCAAGTGCCTTTTAGCTCTGTGGTTCAGAAACTGCTGTGTCACGAACTTATAACTAGCTTATCCTTTATAAATGAGAGTGCAAATCCTGTGCTTAAGGGGATGAATAAAACTGCAAGGTAGATGAGATCCTGGAATCAACAAACCAGTTATTTTCCCACTACAGGAGAAAGCCAGACTTGAGAGAACGTGAACTTTTAAAGCGCCTGCACCTAGTGAGATTACCTCAAAGCTTGATGCCCTAGAGTCAGGTATTTCCATCTAAAAACCATCAAAGAGACCCAGAGCATCTTATATGTGTCTGTTGCATGTGATACACCCTCTGCAGCGTTTCAGGCTTCCCTGGGCTTGAGGCTGACTGTCAGCTCCTCGTCCCATCATCATGATGGTGGCAGCTTCCAGTTTCGCCACCACTTCATTGCATCTCTTCAGAGAACAGAACATGTAGGAAAGTAAAATGTCAGCTCCTTTTCCTTTGACTTCGTGACTCTTTGTTTTTGGGGATCGAACTCATTGTTTGATGGGGATCATCAGTGTGTTGAATATTGTTCACTTGGAAGCTTTGTGTGTTCACTTGCAAGCTTTGGCATCTGAGTGGCTTTTATGTTTTAGAAAAGCGTTTTTTTCGATGATATGTTAGTAGAACCAAGACTAGAAAGCAAGACATGTTCACGTGCTCTGGCATCAACCAGCAAGGGCAGGGGGTGAATTCAGAGAGAAAAATGGGGCTGTTTTACTTCAAGCAAAAATGGAATACATTAAGTTTAGATTCTACTTCCGATCGTGATTAACTTCTAAATAGCACTGAAGGCTTTATGATAACATTAGTAGATCATGGATTATGAAACTAGTCTTGGGGAGGACGGCAAGGCATGTTGACAGGTAAGATGTAATGTAAAACAGTATGTGGTATATATTAACAAATTAGAGTTTGTTGGCTGCATTTAATTGTTTAGAACATGATTATCCAAGTTAAATAGATAAATAAAAGTTGTCTTAAATTTCATTAATATAATTGACTGCAAATCACATTTCCAGGCAGATATTATATATGTTTTCAAATATAATCAATGGTTAGACCGGCTTTTTCCAAAAACTAGAGAATATGTATAATTAGTTTTATACACAAGTCAAGGCAATCCTGATTAAGGAAAATAACCAGATATTTGTGAGAGCGTAAATATTTATATCATGTGCAAAATGATCCTTTTACATCAAAGTTGACTTAAAGTTTTTTTAAAAGTTTATTTTTTTGTAGAAGAGAATTGTTTTGATGTTCAGAAACCTTCCATCGCTTAAAATTCACCTAAAAGCAGCAAAAAGATCTTTCACTTCTAGCCAGAGTCCTTTTGTGACTACTGAGCCCTGCACACTCAACCAGATGAGAAAATCCCCTGCTTTGAGAGGTGACTGTGAGGTCCTGTGGCTAATGAAATTCCTCAGACAGCAGCAGAGGCTGCTAATCAACCCAGTCCAGGTCACCACCTGGAGGATGAATGTGTGAGACAAGTGAACGTGTGTACATGAACAGAGAGCCAGTGCCTTTTTATGCTAAATGTGGTTCCCCACGTCTCCTCTGATTAGAGGTGTGCTCTGAACAAGCTGAGACGGGGCCATGCCGATCAATGATCTCCCGCTGGTACTTTGATGTCACTGAAGGGAAGTGCGCCCCATTCTTTTACGGCGGATGTGGAGGCAACAGGAACAACTTTGACACAGAAGAATACTGCATGGCCGTGTGTGGCAGCGTCAGTAAGTGGACCCCTTCTCCAGCCTGGCCACCTTTCGCCTTTCTTGCCACTGACTCTGCTGTTTGTAACAGATTGATTTTCTTGGTTCATGAGAATGGGCCTGTTGCTACCACTAACCCATTTCTGTCAACTTCTCTAATTTCCCGGAGTCTGCCACAGTACGTTCAATCATGAGCACATCTTTCCGTCTATCTCTAATAAAGCATGGCCTTGGATGTGTTCTTTTCTTAGCTGTTGTAGATTCCTCTTGCAATCTGCAAGGACTTTTAAGTGCTTCTCTTTAAAACGGAACTGGAGTGGCTGTTTTGTCTTCTGAAGCCATTTCTGCAGATGCATACCTACGTGTTTGTCTGTGTACGTGTGTTCGTGTTTATGCATGTGCACTATGTGTGCGAGTACACTTTACTTCTGGAAGCCTGGCTAATGAGGCTGCAGTTGCCTTGACAAGGTGCCTTGCTGTGATGAACACCATCATTGCCTAACGTGTATCTTTTATTGGTGGGACAGGAATGAGATCGAATTGAGCTCGTATATCTCACATGCCAGAGCGCAGAACTCTCCGTGTTGCCCTGAGCTCAGTACATGGACATTTGTATGGTCAATTTTTCATTTCTTCTCTTGGAAATAGAAGAAAACTCTTAACATTGGGAAACTTCAGTGATATAAGCTCAGGCAGTATAATTTTATTGAACATTTAGCTTTCCATAATTCTGGGGGATAGGTATACAAAGTTATGATGGTTTAAGTCTGCAAAACTAAACTTTTCCTTGAAGAATTCTCAGATATATAAGACTTGTCCTCCTGTTACTTGTCTTCCAAATTAGATCCCCCAATTTTATTTTTTTTCATAACTAGGAAGTTACGTATGTCAGTTCTTCATAACAGCAGTTAATCCTTGATTTGATAAAGATGGATCTTAACAATTGCATTTCTTTTTGAGAAACTTGCCTCTTTTCTTCACATGTCCTAAGGGTGGCCGCCACCATTCCCCGCCTGAAATTCTGGAGACCTATACATTATTTTCCAGATGGATCATAGGATTAAGCAAAGCAACAATAGCACCTGCGTCGTTAAGACCTTCCCTGTGAAGGGGCCCACTATGCAAGTGAGATGTAATGGAAAGTCTGTGTGGTTCTCCTGCCCTCACTTGCTTGAGATCACTGCTGCAGCCCTGTGTGGGAACAAGTTCAGGAACTGGTTACCCAAGCCTTCTTTTCTTGGCCCTTGATTGGATGATTGCAACTTCTAGCTCAAAAGACTGCCTGCTTTAGTTTCAAAGAAGTTAATTAGGTCAGGTAATTTGGAGCACAATGGAGGATTCTATTGGCTGGCTCTTTTTTGGAACAAAGAATTTTTTTGTTTGTTTGTTTGTTCCAATGATGCTAACTGGTTTAGCTGCTAGGTAAGATTTTTGCCAGATACAGATTACACATATAATAAGAAACTTTGACATTATTAACAATGAAGAATTTGCCTTAAGAGATAGAAATTACCTTCCCAAGTGGTCCCATTGTGAGCCTCCCCAACACCTTTCAATTTGATGAGTTTGAGAAAGCAGTAGTCAGCACAGATTGGTTGGAGATACCAGAGCAGGCTCTCACTTTACTGAGAAACTTGCAAAAGGGAGACACCCCAAGCAGAAATCTAGTGTGTCAGGCAAGCAGCTCATACTTGGAGTGGGTTTCAGAATACTATTTGGAAAAAAAGCAAAGGTAGGGCTGAGGATGTAGCTCAGAGGTAGAGCATTTTTGCTGGCCTAGCATCCTCCAGGCCCTAAATTCAATCCCCAGCATCATCTCTAAAGGAAAAAGAAAAAAAAAAAGAGAGAGAGAGAGAAAGGGGCTGCAGGGTTGTTAAATGGGCAGACAGATGTAAGTGGAGAACAAAAGGCTCATCAAACCACTGACTCAAGAGCCTGACGTTGCCTTGTGTGTACAGTGAAAAGAATAGAGATATTGCAGCAAAACTTGGCGGAAAGGAGACAAAATAGCAGTGAGAAGCCCTCTAATAATGCTTGGATTTCCAGTCAGTGATACACTGTCCTGCATTCTCAGATGTTAATTTCTGTTGAAAATAGATTTTTATGTTTGTTTATGTTCCCTGTTTATGTTATGTACTTTTGTTCGCTGTTTATTTTTTGTTTGTAATTTAATGTTATTTTTGTTCGTTTTGCTTTGTTCCAGTAGAACCCTGTGAGTTTCAGCCATTATTCCCATGTTTCTGTTTTTTTGTTTTTGGTTATTTTCTCTTATTTTCTCCATAGTGTCCCAAAATCTGCTGAAGACTAGCGGGGAACCTGTTTCCCAAGGTCCTGTTAAACGTATGTTGCCATTCACTTGGGGTGGGGAAGGGAGGCATTTATTGCATGGCTGGATTTTAAATTCACCATCACATTCTTTGCATGGGTTTTGTTTTCCGAAGACCTGTCTTTTCTTTAACGAACTGTGCGTTCCTATTCTCTTGCTTGTAATTTTGTCTAATTTTTGCCAGGCAACCTCAGATGTTGGGCTGAAAGCACTAACTAAAGCTTTTTCTATTTCTGATTAATTTCCTTTTTTATTTAGAGTGGTTCAATTAAATATTGTGTGTACAATGTTAGTATCATGTTTGATTTGGCATCACTCTGGTTTCTTAAAAGCTGCCAAGATGAAGTGATTTAGCAAGAGACCATGTACATTAATAACTTGTCCTCTCCCCAGTATTTTCTGAGTTGTAGTAGACAAACTTGTTTGCATATATCCATTACAATTATGTGTCTTTACAAGCAGTGGAAGTCTTAGAAGGTCAAAGGTCACCTTTAGGTTTAAAGACCATCTCTTCGTCCTCTCCCAGAATGCACAATGGTGACTCAGAGGTGCTCCACTCAGGATTTTGTCACTGGGAGACAAAAGAAGAGTTCCCTGTAAAAGAATGCATTGGCGAGCCACTGACAATATCTTATATTTCCTGATTATTTCATTCTAGCTTCATTTAAAAATATGGCATCCAACACACCAATACTTATTTTTTGTTATATCTAGAAATAAATTTATCTGACTGTAGCTTAAAGATGATATATAATTTTGAAACTGCTAGAAGAGTCATAATTTCAGTTGTATCCTCCATATTTTATAATTAAAATTAACATTTAAAGTTGACATTTATCAACTTTATCTGGGAAAACAAATTGCAAAATTGAGGAAATCAAATGTTTTTAAGACAAATTATAGATGGAGAATTATATACTTTACAAAAGTTTTCATCCTAAACCATGCAGTTTTTTAATGATTTCCATAAGATGTTCACACTGATTCAAGTAATATGTAAATTTTGAAAGATATAGCTTTTACTATCATGATAAAGGCATTTCTTGCTATTGTGTAAAACCATTTTTCTCTAAGAACGTTGACAATCTGGTGAGTCCTTCTGAGGCAGTAAGACCAGAAAACTCTTAGATACCATGCTGTTGGTATGACAAACTTTGATTTCTGTGGTGTGTTGCATTGTACTAAGCCTTCTCTTACATCGTTTATTGTTCTGCAGAACATTTTATAGACATTTCCCTTACTTCTTTTATGCATCTGAGAAAATGAGACTTAAAGAGCTTAGTGACTGTCAAACCTAGGGGACTCAAGTCTGAAACCTAAATGGCTTGGCCATGCTGCACACCAGATATCTAAGTGTTTGGTTTTGACATTGTTTTCTAGGTTTAAGCAATTACATTTGAGGTTCAGAAAATGCATTTCAAGAATACAGAAAATAGTGAGTCAGGATGACAAATGTTAACATTTTTTCCTAAATGCTATGAGTAGAAATAGCATGCACCAATAAATTATATGCATTGCCCACCCTTTTAAAAATGATTTCCCTTTTTCATTTTATATTCTTTTAGTGTGTAAAAGAATTATATTTTTCTATTTTTATTGGCAGAAATGAACATCATCACTTGATATATACACACACATGTGTATCTCAACTTTTTATCCACGCTTCCAAATGGATGCTGAAAGTCTCTTTTATAATTTGCTCTTTCTCAGTCACTTTCTCCACCTACTTGCCCTGCCTCTCGAATCCTGACATCCTTCCACTCTAGGAGGATGAAAACGATTTTGTCAGCCATATTTTTTGATAGCTGCAGACACTATTCAGTCATTCCAAGTGAAGGGTTTTGCAGTTTTAATACAGATAGGAGAAACCATATAATTTCTAGATATTTATAGCCTGTACAGCTATGCATCTTATTTATAGCAAAGCTGCACATTTGAATTGAAATAGTTACAATCATCTGGAGGTCAGATGCAGAAAGCAGACTCCATTCAGACGAAACGAGCCCCTCTGGAAGGCGAGTGAACTATTTGTTGGACAACTCAGGTTTACACTTTGCTCCTTCACCAATGTAGGGCTGATCAGATAATGCTCTGTGCACTGAAGCGATTGGTTTTACAGGCTGTAAAATACAGGTGAATTGAGATAGCACACGCTCTTCAGGCGAGCTGGTACAAGATTATACTTACGGAGAAAGTACACACTGTGATCCACATTGTGAATACAGTTTCCCTGTCGACTTCTTACTAGTATAATCAAGTACTTCTAGACTTAAAACTTTTGCCACAAAACCAATTCTGAAAAGCACCACGATTTTAGAGAGCCTGACTTTTTAAAAATTGTGATTCTCATAGATAAGAAAGCATCTAAACCTTAAAAACAAGAAACAGAGACATGAAACAACTGTCATTTTACTCATAAACAGATGGGTTTAAATCTTTTGTTAAAAAAATCCTGACCATTTGTGATAAAGAATCTTTTTTTTTTTAATTTTATTTTGAAAGTATACAACAGAACAAGTCAGAATAAAGCCAACTAAGATCCTACAGTGAAATTGGTACAGAACTTCACAGCAGGTTACCGGGATAACAGTAATAGGTATCACAGTATATTTTGTTATCTTTATAATAGTTGTTCTTTCAATCACATATATCAAAATGAGATGAAATAAAGAACACTATAGAACTTATCAAAACAAAATATTGAATAGAGCAGTACCATTAATCAGAAAAGAGCAAAACAGTAATAAAAATAATTTGCCTTTAAAGAGATGGTAGAAGGAAGTCCCTGTTATTTGCTATCAAACCTCCCAGGAGATGCTCAGATTTCTGGTTCCCATTTGCTGATGGGTGGGGTGGGGGGAAGGGGGAGGAGGAGAAGGAGGATAGGGGAAGTGAGATATTTGACTGTAGGCCATGTAGCAGTAGGTTCACTATTGCTTAGCAGGGAGGCAGGATGGTCGTTTGGTTTCACAGTGTCCTAAGTTCCAACATGGCGTGGATCTCAGGAGACGCTGCTGGTTCTCCCCCTGGAAGGGCTGTGTGATAAAGAATCTTGTGAGACTGAGTCTTTTGTGACATTAACATTACATTAGTCCATTTAAAGTTAAGGCAGTCCAAAAGTTTCACTTTTGTCTGTACAATGTACTGGTAAACAATAAAATTATATAAAGATGTATTGATTAGTTTGTGTTTCAGATATGAGAGTGATCATATTTTCTGGTATTGATCCATTAGATTCCAGCTCAAAAGGTAGAACACCCTTGACACCTTAAAGAGCATCATTCCAGTGCTCACGCAGCTGATTGCCCCTAGGAATCTGGCCCAGAGTGACCTGTCTGCCCCTTCACTTCAGCTGGCTTGTACTGCAAACAACACTAAGACCACCATTTCTCAGCTTTTTCTTCTTCATTTTCGTGGTGTGGGGTTTGAACCCACGCCATGCATATGTTAGACCTCCCACTGAGCAGCACCCGTAGCCCATGGGTGACATTTGGTACAGAATATTCACTATCGTGGGGGCGCCTGTCCCGTGCATGTAGGATGTTTAGCAGTATCCCCACCCCCAACCCATTTGTGCCATTATCCAGTTGTGATAGCTGAAATTATGTCCAGAGTTTGCTAAATGTACAAAATCACCCATGGCTGAGAATCGTTATTCTAGATTAGTATTTTCCTACTTCTGAGTCAGGCGATGTAACTAGACTGATAAACAAAAATATGTGTGATAAACATGGCCCTGTTGAAGTGTAAAGACATCAGTAACAGCGAATTCTGGGCAGATACTTCCGAAACTGAGTTTGTTAGACCAAAATCCTAGCTGTTGGTATTTGTGAAAGGTACATGTAGCTGTGGTTGTTTTTAACTACAGTACTGTTTTTCTATCCCTATGTAAGCTACTATGAAAGCATGAAATAAACTAGCAAATCCTTCAGTTGGAAGTAGATAGTCAAGCCACATACTGTCCCTTCTCATTTTACCTTGGTTTTGTAGAATTTCACCCTACACTGGAGAACAGCCAGCTTTGCTACATGAGTTATGTGTGCCTTAAGAGCAATGCTGTTCACAGCCAACATAGAGGCCCTATGTAGGATTGAGGGAGGGAAAATATTAATTTGTTGGGACATCAGAGGATCCCAGATATAGTGCAATAGTCTAGTATATTTCGTTATTTTACAAAAAGAATCAAAATTTGCCAAAACATCACCCATAGGTTTTAAGTTTGTGGCTTTAGATGTTTATAATTTGCAAACTATACATAACTTGCTTTGCCCTCTTTGAATGTACTGTGACCCTTGAACCCCCCAGAGTCTTTGGTCCTTGTATCTCATACCTTGATGGGGTCCTATATACCTAGGCCACTTTGCTCAAGTTAGAACTCTTGTTCTCAATCCTACTATCCTATTTTTCACTTGGGAAGCAATGAATCTGAGTTCACTTTAGCACATTCTATAATATCATTGGAACTATTTTTAAAACTGCTGATTATTAAAAATGATTATTAAAAGACATGGTGGTGCATTAAATTACATGTCACATCAGTGCCAGTGAAACATTTCAGATTGACATGTGTAAAAAGCCAAATCTTTGATATCCAGAAATGCTTAGAAACTTAAAAAAAGAGTCTCAAAACTGTGATAGTGAGAAACTCAGAGATGGAAAAGGCTTGAATTGTTTAGGAAACCAGCTTTTAAAAAAAAAGAAAGAAAGAAAAAAGGAAAAGTTATTTACTCTGAATAATAAAAGGGTGCTCATTATATATGTGCTGTATACTTTAGCTGTTCACTGAAGGAGAGACAGTAGATAATTTTTAAAGGATTGGCAACCATGTCTATAAAAGGGTCCACAATAAATAGTTTAGGCTTTGCTGGATGCATAGTCCCCTAACTGCTCACCCCTGCCATCGAAGCATGAAAGCAGGCATAGATAATAAGGAAATCAGTGGACCTGGCTCTGTTGCTCTCTTAAAACATTATTGTAAAAGCAACCAGCAGGCCCAACCTGTGTTTAATACACT